GGAAGATATCCCAATTCAAAAACCCAATTACCAATCATCTTCACTCACTGGGCATTTCAGTGATGTACTGCCAGCATTTCAATGAGCCTGCAGAATGATTTTTCCCCTACTTTGAAATACATGTGGTATTTTCAAAGCAAAGAAAACAACCCATCCATAAAACTAGTGCTTTCCATCACAGCAATCCTCTGAATTCACCTTGCTGATGCTACTTTGGGGTGTTCCTACATCAACAGCAGAGCATTAGACTTGTAGCCTTTTCCTCAAGGGGTTGATAGTGTAGAGAGAGGCTCATTTCTTGTGCACTACGTGTCCAAGAGTTTGGGACCGTCAGATCTCTGCTTTCACCATTGAGAGGGTGTGGGGGAGTCAGGCAAGACACCTCACCTGTATTGTGGGGTCTTAACAAAAGAGTAGGTCTTCTTCTATGGGTATGGGGGTCTTAGAGAAGGGAGTGCTTTTGTTTTGTTAGGGGCAGTAAAAAACCAAGGTCCAAAACCTTATTTTACTTTCTGTACAAGCTCTTTACATTTGTGGCAGGGATGGATAAAAAAAAGAGATGGGTACGAGAGATCTGTGTCTAAGAGTTGATATTTGGAAGGATGATACAGCTTTGGATTATCTTTTTAAAAAATTGAAATTAGAAGGTGCGTTTCCTAGCCCTCTGGGTTGTGAGAAAGAAAAATGCGACCATGACACAACTCCAACACAGACATTTTTTTTTCAGTTCTATGAGAATCCCCAAAAAATCTTTAGGTTAAAGAGAGGGTATGCCACCCCAGGCTTCTGACTGGGAAGTTTATTCCTTCCAGCCTTCCAGTCAAGTTTGTGTTTAGTTATGAAAGGTTCCATCACACCTGAAAGAATGGGTTGGAATATTCCCTCACAGGGAGGCAAAATAGAGGCTGTTTTAAAAGGGAGTGTAAGAGATTTGCGTAACCTTAGCCTTAACCAACTCCTGTTGCTGTAAGTTTCAGCAATAACTTAAAATACAGGGTCTATTTCTAGCTGGAAAAGTAGAGTATATATCTCCAGATTTTCCATTTTTCCCATGAAGAAATATAGTGACTATAGACATAATTTAAATTGATAACAGAAATCTCACACAGCAAGTGAGATAAAGTCAACTAAATTCTTTATGTTTGAAGGCTTAGGGAGTTTCTATGATGCAAATTTTAGGACATATCCTGTAAAAATAAGACTTTTTTGTATTTTATTTTTATAAAATTATGTGAAATGTAATTGAGGAAATACTCACTGGGTAAGGTAGTGTGACCTTTTATTTGCTCAATTAGACTTTCATTAAACTTGGAAAAACAGATCAGCTTTTAGCTGCAAAGGCCTGTGCATACTGCAGTCCAGTGGACTCAGAGAGGTGCTGAAGTGCTCAAAATCTGGTCTATGTTTTTGCTCCCGACTATATTAGCTAGTCAAATAAAAGATATTACCTTTCCTTATAGAGCATTCTTGGATTAAACTACTCTCTGCTATTAAGCAGAGAAATGCTAGTGAGTACATAACAAACAATGGATATTTGCATGATCAGTTCAGGGCATTTTTAGCGCTTCTCTCCTTAGTGAGCTGCAAACATGTTTTTCAAATGAATTCATCACTGCAGATGACCTCACTTGCAAAGATGAAAGCTGGGCTTCACTTGCAACACTTTTCCCTGCATTTATGAAGTTGAAGTATTCATCAAATTTCCCTTTGGTATTAAAAGCAAAAACATCTGCTAAAACTATGAGCAGCTTGATGCCTGAGTTCAGCAAGAGGGGAGCCAGAAGGTGGTCAGATGGGCCTTATGTTGGTCCCTTTGTCATAAATGAAAATTATTGCACAGTTTTCATGGTTAAGTCATGGTATGTGACTCTTGGTATTAAGTGCCCAGAACAAAAAACGGAAGAGAAAATGTTTACAACACAAAAGCAAATGAACAGATTTTTTTGCCTGCCATGAAGCATTTCATCTAATATGTACCTGCATGTCTTAAGGCAGCATACAGATTTGGAATATGTTATTTAAAACAAGACTTGAGTAGGAGTGTTTGTAGTTTATCTGTACGCTGTTATTCAGGGATATTGCAATACCTACAGTAGGTTTTAAGCAGGCTGCATACTAAGTACCTCGGTATCTGGAGCTGAAGATATTGGTGGTTCAGTACTAAGTTGTTTTAGTGCTATTCAGCGCATATCTTTGAGCCATTTTCAGTTAGACCAATTCCTAATAGTTCTTCCCTACAGCATGAACAGAACCATTCTGTTAACATCCGTCTGCAGCCGCTTGGCTCAGCCAAGTCCAACTTGCTTCCTGCCGCCCTCCTGCTCCTGGAACCCTGAGGCGGCTCCAAATTATGTTCCTGACTCACTGCAGCAACATAGCAATGCGAGAGAAATACCTGATCCAGCACTTCATAGTGCACAGGGAAGTTTTTCAATTATTGGAAAAGTATTATTAAAAAAAAAAAAAAGAAGAAGGGATCATGTGTAGGGCAAGTGTTGGCAAAAGAAGCTAAAATATCATATAAAACTCTTTGCCAATAAGGCAGCAAAAGAATTTAGCAAGGGAAAAAGTGTAAAAAAACATTTGCTGCTTTCCTTTCTCAAACTGTTTTTTGACAGACCACATGGACGAAACTATCCAGCTTTGGTAGACAGATGTCATCGCAGGTTTGTAACACATTTTAAATTCAGGAAATTTTAAATTGCTTTAAGCAACTCCATTAGCAGTGCTCCCCAGAGCAATAGAGGAAAAGTAGACCCAAAATGTATAGAAGGCTCTATGAAGAATTGCATAGAAAAGCTCTGAAAAATAATATATGTGTGTGTGCATTTACATTTCTTTAAGTAAAATGCATGATTAATTTAGTTTCCTTCAAAGTAAAATACCACCATTGCGGTTTGGAATTAGGCTATATGATTTTTTTTGTGTGTCTGAAGTGGTATTTTCAGTCTTTTGGTCTATTGTCAGAAGCTTCAGAAGGCTACCCAGATAAATTACTGCTCACTAACACTCCCAAACTATGATGAGGAAAAAGTTCCTACAGAAATGTAGAAAAATGAAAAATCTGAACCTCTGTCATCATCTGGAAAGAAAGAGGCCTAGTATGAACCTGCTGCAGAACTAGAGATTTCAAAGTCATACTTTTTTGTGGAAAAAGAGGGACAAGCAATGTTTATTTATACTAAACCAGAATCTGGCCTCTGAAGTTTACAGCTAAGAAAAGAAAGCACCTATACAGTAGCACGCTATGCCACTGTGTGCAGCACAAGTTGAATACAATTCCCCAGCTCCAGTCAAACCTGATATAAATCATTACAGTTTGCTCAGTCCCTACCCTGGCTGAGGTTTTAGCTTTCCTGTCGCGACCTGAAACAGTATTAATGACACATGGCTCCTTCCCCTTGTGCTCTGAGAAAACATTCCTGAAAGTGCATAATGCAACATTCACTGTCTCCAAGCTGTAGTTTCCATCTCCTCTGTTTAGCAGGGAAAAAAAATCTGTAGCAATCTGAAAGACCTGGGGATGCTGTTGACAGAGAAGTTAAACTGCTTTGAGTAACAGGAGATACCTTAGACTTTCGGACTTAATGGATTACGTAGGCCCATGGAATTATAATCAATATTCAGTTGTTGAAATTTAGGTGCATATGTGATAAAAATATGGTGCTGGTGGAGAACGTGGAATAATGTTGGTTTCCAACTGCAGAAGGTCAAGTGCACAGGCTGGCAATAGAGCAGTGCTCTTGTCTTTGCAGATGAAACATTTTGAAGGGAAGGGGGCCTCCCCCTCCTATCTAAGGAAGAAAGAAGGCAAGGGTTAGTGAGATATGCAGGATGAGTTCACATGGAAATTCTCCTCTTCACCATAAAACAAAGGCAGATAGTTAGCTGTATTATATTATTTAACATCTCCTATGTATGCTTTCAATTTTCTGGCCTGCTGCAATGCTTACTGCCTCTTTACTGCTAGAAACCACCAGAGGTTAACTAGGCTTTTTCCTCTCAGTATTGCACTGGAAGAGATGAGCTCTGGTGGTGGAAATTGTGGGCAATCACTGATTAGACTTCGGTAAAAAATAGCTATGGGACAATATTATCCAGTTTAAAGTGCTGGAAATACTGAAAAGAATGGCCCTGCACACAAACAGATGGATAAACACAACAACAAATCTTGAGCCTACATGTGTTTCTGTAATATCTTGGCTATGTCAAACTTGGAACATAACTGCAAATCCCAAAATGTGATTGTTTTAGGATCTCAAAATTGGTCTTCAAAAGCTCTTCTCACACCCTGTGAGGACTTAGCTCCTCATCACTAGGTGCTGCACATTGTCCATACCTGCCGGATTCTAGTTGGAGCTACTGGCACCAATTTAAAGGCAGATAGAGAGTAGAGCACTTGACCAGACAGCCGCCTTCCTCCTGGATGCTAGAGGCATCGAATTCTGTTTCAGTGCTTTCACTGCAAATGAAATCTGAGCTGCCTCCTGTTAGTTTTGCTCTTTGTTCTTTAAATGTCAGCATAGCACCAGTATGGGTGGGATGGTATGTATTATACTGGTGCTTACTGGTGCGATGAAAAATATCTTTACATTGAATGAAAAAAAAAATTACAAAACGATTTCTCCATCAGAACATTTTTGTCTAGTTGTTTCCTAAAGGAAGGAGATGATATGCACTTTGCTGCTAGATTCCCCCTGGCAAAATGCTTGAGTTGACCTAATCATTCTCCTTTGTTGCAGATATCGGAGACCAGAGATCAGACTGGTGCAATCAGGTCATATTCAGTTAGCAGCATAAAATAACCTGCTGGTTATTTTATTGTAAGTTGTTTGTCTCTTAACATCGTGGAGCACTGGGGCCATGGAGACTGAAGAATTCAAGTGTGGAACAGTGATGTTCCACAGTGGAAAATACTTTTTTTTTTTTTTTAATGGGAAAACCTTTTCCAGAAAAAAAAACCCGAATTCCCCCAGCAAAGACTGGATGGTGCCGCTTACCTGGAAGTTCCCAAAACAGCTTCCCCCTGGCAGGGTGACGTAACTCACAAACGGGGGGCCCAGGGAGCTCAGCGACTCGTACACCACGGTGCCCTCGCTTGGGAACACGGCCTTCTGCTTCTGCTTGCTCTCCCAGAACTCCTGCAGGATTGCCACCACGTTCACTGTCAAGGGGGCACAGAGAGGAACAAGGAAACACAACAGGCCTTTGATCTTAGCTTCCTGTTTTATAGGCTGAGTAAGAAATGCAGACATGGGAGTTTGGCACATCACCAGCATTAAAATTTCTGTAGTAGTGTCTATTGGTGTTAAAATGTATTCAGATTTGACAGTAACACACCGAGAAGCTCCGAGGATTACAGGCTGCTATGATCATCCGTTTCAGGTTAGTGATGTTCTCCTTTTAAGTCAGTATGTTGGGGCCCCAGTTTAATAGCTGGAAGTGGAGAAACTCACCTTCAAATGAGAGAGAATGTTATGTTCTAATCTTTCTTTGTTCAGTTTTGAAAGAATTGTATCTACCTGGAGCAAGTAGCAGTAGAATTTCAATGTGAAACTTTATGAAGCACTTGGCCAATAGTGCTGTACAGCATGGCACCAGTAGTTGCAGGCAAATGTAAAGATGGAAATGTGGAAATCACAAATTCAGGTGACATCACAACTCTTGTCTTGGTGTTGTGAAACTTTGAGTTTTATAAATAGCTATTTTTCTCAGACTAGGAAGGAATTATTTGCTTTGTTTATCTAGACACCTTTTAGTGTCTAGATAATGACAAAGTCACTTATGTTATATCTTAGATCTAATATTTGTTCTGGGAAATGAGTACTAAAGGCCTGTACCATACAGATGCTCTTTTTACCTTTGTCAAAGCTGTTGCCTTGATTTGCTCTAGGCCTTGCCAGAAACACCAGTCTGCTCCAAAGAAAAACTGTGTTGGACATTCGCCATAGAAATACATGTTGTTACCAGTATTGCTCTCTCACTTAAAACTCAGAAGATGAGGAATAAAGACTGCAGCTTGCAGTGTGGTAGGGATCATAGATCATCTAAGGTATTGATACCGGTGTAGTATTGTAACAATATAGGATATTAGCTACTCGGGCAGGGAGCAGGGGGATTTCAGGATATATGAGAGCAGAGATCATGTCCCTTGCTCTAGCCTTCCCTATCCATAGTCAGGTTGAGCTTGTTGATGGGGAGAGATGGCAAAAGGGATCCATCTTCTGAGAGCTTCACCCCGATGGTAGCTCATGTGCAGCAAGTGCATGGGGCATCGCCCCATTCCCCACAGCAGTGGCCACGTGGTCTCCAGATGTTGCCTCTCAGTCTCTACTTAATTCAGATCCACTAGTCTCATGTGCAATACAGCTTTTCTTGGGCACTCAGCCAGGGAGAGGACAGGAACAGGGAGCATGGACAGCACCAGCTGCTGGCTCCTGGTTGTGCTCAGACCGCTGTGTTTGCAGCAAGCTGCTCTCTGCTCCGCGGTGCCATGCTGCTCTTGGCACCTACCAGCTCTGGTATCTGGGCGTTTGAAGCTGCACAGCTGTCCTGGCATTCAAGTATTGTGCTGCTCTAAAGAGAGCTACCATATAGAAGTATTTCTAGCAGGGAACATATTGGGAAACAGGAAACATCTGTCAGGGCGCAGCTGAGCTTTGAGAAAAAATGCAGTACGGGAAAACTCTTACCACAGAGATGGACTGCTGCTTTTCTAAGTTACAATTCATTCCCCTCTTGAGACTGTCAGTGCTTGTTAGCTGCAGGACCTGCTCTACCTGCCTCTCATCTCTGACATACATTGCTTGGAGAGCCAGAAAAATTAAGCAATTATCTGGAGGTGGTGACCCAGTCCTTACACTCAGGAAGCGCGGTTACTCTCTTATTATGAACTATGAGTAATAGTGAACATGAGGGGTGAAGAATTGGACTTTTAGCCAGGGTAATTCCCTAGCAAAACAGAGCCCATAAGGTAATCCACCTTGATGAAGGAGTATTTCAGAAACCAATTCTGTGTGAGAGTTCTTCTTTGATGTAAATGACTGCACTTCTTTTATTAGGCCTTCTGCTCCATAGAGCATGCACATGTGTATTGGGTAAAGCCCATTAAGTGAAAGCTGAAATTAGGCATAAATTTTATGAACGTCAACTATCCAAGCTCTAAACTTGACAATTCAATAGAAGGTGCCATTTCAATAAAGAAATGGCATTGATGAAATTCGGTGTTCTATTGGAAAGGTCACAGCTGGGGCAAAAGGGAGTCAGCTGGAAATAAATCAACATAAAAATGAGCAATATAAAGAACACCACGGACTTAAGGTGGTGCTATAAAGCACTTTGACCTTTTAAATAATTGTTGTCAAATGGTGCGGTCATTAGAAACAATGACCCAGTGTCTACAAAAATATCAAATACAATGGTTAAAGTAACTTACAGAACTTTCGGTGTTCTTATTTACCCTGTGCATTACAGCTTTTGTTTAAAAAAAAACTACATCAGTTGCTCTGAACCTTATCATCAGGTTGAATATTCTGTAGCTAATGCATCAGTGCCACAGTTGGCTGCTCTGTTGAAACTGCTGAGTGTTTTAGCAACATAAAGGCTACAACTTGCAAAGCCAGAGAAAGAAATTCTGGGACATGGATTTTGTGGAGGCAGGGAAGAAGAACTACAGACAAAATACAGTGATTTTGCTTGTTAAGGGAAAATGACAATGGACCATAGAACAAGCACCTCTCTAATTCCAGCGATAGTAACAGCTAACCCTCTAAATACTTTGCATGTGTGAGATCTCTGTTTCTGGTTTTTCTTTGGTGGTATTGCAATGGAAAGAGTACAGAATGTAGAATGTCTGGTTTTACTTCCAGTCTTGTTCAGGAGTACCTCTGAAGGTAATTCAGCATTTGGACAGTCTGCCTTTCTTTGCTTGGCTGAGAGTTTCTGCTGGAGCTCCCACTGCTCTACAAACTCGTATTTGCAAGAATTTTTAAGCGCTCCGAAGAGGTGTTTTTTTTTTTTTTTTCAATACTCAGTAAGTAAATAGATAAAATAATCTCTCTCCTTTTAGTTTAAATCTGGAAATGAGTTTTTGGCTGTCAGGTCATTCAACCAAAGAAAGATTTTACCTGGGGACAACAAAGCAGTGAGCAGCCATGGCAAAGTAGTGTGAGAAGCATTTCAAAAGCAGCTGAGCTGATGCTTGCATTTGGATTAGAACTGTGTCTGGAAGTGGGTTGATATGCCTAGGAAACCTGGTGCTCCAGCTGGCTCTCTCTGTACAGGATGTGGAAACCCACAGTATGTAAAGGAGCCTGCTTTTGTACAGCAGTGGATGAGGAATATCCATAAAGCTGGACTCAACTGTGGGAATGGTAACATCCGTTGGGAAGCATTGGGGATGTGCATGGTGCTAAAGTCCCAAAATACAGCAGCAGTTTTTGCAGTATTTTTTTTTTTTTTTAATGCTAGCCAAAGCTGGCGTTTCCAAAGGCTGATGTACACAAAATTGTATCAGGTTAACTAACGGCAGGATAGAATCTGGGGCCATAGTGCTAGTTTTCAGTTTAGCCTAACAATGTTCCATGGGGATGTTTTTTATGCTAGTTTTAATCATTAATTTAAATATTTTCACTATACAGTATGTAATCTGTAGTAATTTAAGAAGATGTGAAAGATGTATTCAAGTGTGCAACTAGTTAATTACTCACCCTGAGACACCACCATGATTACTTATGTTTTCTTAAGATCTCCCAATATTCATTTATCCTGTAAGAACTGTATTCCTTAGTTTGATTTTTAAACACCCCGGGTAGAAAGTTGTTTGACCAGATGCTGTGTATTAGGATTCTGCAAACCAACTGGTTTGCAGTGTGATAATGCAGGGCTCTGCTCATGAGGGTTTTGAGAAATCGGGAGCTGTATGTAAACGAAAGGGCAAGATTTGCTTTCACTTGAGAGGTTTAATGGTGAGTAAATAGAGCATTGCAATTTACATCTCATTTTGAAAGACCACTCTCTTCTAAATGACTTCTGTATTTTTGAAGATGCCTATAAAATTGTTAAAGCTTTTAAAATCGTGACTGTATGTATTGATAACATTTTTCTTGAGAATTTAATTTTCTGCACTTTAAAAATTGTTGTTCGGTATATTGTGAATTGCAGAACTAGTTAACTATATAGGTTTTGCTGAAATCCCCCATGAATTTCAACCAGACAATACCATATCCAAATGCTGCATATATGTTCCCTACTTGCCTATCCAGGCCTTTTAAGTTAGAGTTTTATATAGTGAGTTTATATATAGAGTTTTTTATATGATCAGGTTCAAGGTCAAGAATTTCATATATCCATTTTCTTTATTTTTTTTCCATCTGTGAGTGTCAAGAATTTCACCATAGTCTGTTTGATGTTGGTTGTGATGTCTAGTTATGAGATGTGGGGATTATCTTTTAACATAGATTTCTTTACTTTGTTTTTCAATCAGCTGGAAAAGCATCCCAGATGCCCAGGACCGGAGCGCGGGCCATGCTGAAGCTGTCCTAAGCGGTAAATCCTGGCAGCCTCTTTGAAGCACCCCTCACCTGTATTTCTGGAGCAGACTGCTTGGAGACTTTGAGGTCTGTACAGCAGAAATGCACAGGTTGTTCTGCTACACTTATTCTAAACAAACTCTGGGCTCTTTTCAGCGTCCAGAAACATTGTTTTATATCAGCTGTATTTGGAAGAGGGTGGAATGATGAAACCTGTCTTAAAACATGACATTATTTTCCACTTGTTTTCTCACCTCTGAGTGCCCTGCCTCTGCTCATGGAAATGGGCTAAATTACATGTTATTGCAAGAGGGAAACAAAACTCCCAGAAATGCATTATGTCTGTGTGTTTGTGTGCTGCTGAGGCCAGGGGGAAAAAAAAATAAAGGTTCTGCACTTCTGGGATTGCTGTTAAAAATACTGACTGGGCATTTGCCCTAACCAAGGCTAAGAAAAAAGACCCAAACCAGAGGATGCCCAAGCAAAGGACATTTGGATAAGACTAGCAGGGCTAATGGGAGCCAGAGCCAAGTGAATCTATCAGTGGAGTGGATTGGAGTCATGTCCTTGACAACATTTTGCTGTCAAGAGACATAAGATAACCACCTAGTTTGTCATTTTTAAACTTAAAACA